CCAGTCCGATCGACACATATGTTCAACTTCTCGTTTGCGTCTTGAACGAGGCTTATCCACAACCTGCTTCTGTACATCCAATTCTTGTTGCTTTTTCTTGGCAATATTGGGCAGATACAATGGATCGTCGATTTTGGGTGCTGGTCGGTGAGTGCTAATAATATGGCCGGGCTGGATATTGTAGTCACCGAGGGTCCAATCTTCCCCGCAGAGCGTTTTCAGTGGTGGCAGAATTGACGAGGGAATTGGGGTAGCGGTGATCCGTGAAGAAATGACAGATTGGATGGCAGGGATCGTGGAGTCTGCCTCTGACGGCGGAAGCAGGCTGCGAGCGACAATCTCTTCTTCGTCCGAATCATCGGCTGCGACGGGTTGAATTTCGTCGCTACCAATCTCGCTACCTTCTTGAGAGCCTTTCACAGGATAATTGTTCTCCACTTCCTCCTCTTCACTGCCCATCTGTTCATCTTGTTCGTCCATCTGCGATTGTTGGTCATCCTGTTCAACCATATCCTGATCCACTGGCTCCTCTTCATGTTTCTGTCGCTCTCTCAGACCCATTATCTTTGCAAAGCTAACATGTGCCAAGTCCCCAAAGAATCGGTTTTCGGTGTCTTGGTCAATTGGCACAATATCAAACTTCGATGACTCCATGAACGCTTGTGGCTTCCAATGTTCGTCATTTTCGCGAAGACCGACATCAATGGTGCTGATTCGATAGAAGTCCCAAGTGGCCTGCTAATTGGAAACATTAGCAAAGAGCGACGAATAGAGGAAGCAGAACATACTGTCAGCGTTTGCATCAATGAATCATACGTGTCGCGACTCAGAGCTCGCCCAGTCGCCATCTTGTACTGGAACTGCTCTTCCAACGCCGCCTTTGATTTCCCGCTTCTGGGCTTAACAATCGGCCGCCGAGTGTGTTGTTCGATGCCATCCAAAGGAATGCCACAATGGGTAGCAATTGTCGAGCCGATCATATTGAGCTTTTTGAACATTTCCTGGCTGCGCCGGAAGCGATCCTGGAGAGCTTTGCTGACCTGGATGTATTCGGGTGTCAACGCTGGCATCGACTCTTTTGGATTCTCGGCAAAGCTGTAGCCTGTCCAGTCCGTCCACCAAGGATCAACACGAGCAATTTCCTCGTGGCCTAAGCGAATGAAGACCCTAAAGCATCCAACATGAGTGAGGAGTGGCTGAGGAAACAGAACTATTCACCTGAGACCCAGATTCTCGTTCAGGAGCTTTTTGTGTTCCGGAAGCTTGCGGACTTCATTCAACGCTCGGCTATAATATGATCTTGGGGAGGAATATTTGGACGTAGTGCTGTGGAACCAATCGGTATTGATTCGGTCAAGAAGGTCGAGGACCATCGGATAAGGGAATTTGTCGCAAACAAATTTTGGCGGACCGCCTGATAGATCCCAATGGCGGATTTGAGTTGCAGTTCTATGGGGAGCTGCTTCTCTTGCAGCAAGAGTCCAGGATATGATCAGGTCAAAGGCGGCGTCTTCAGTTTCGTCAAGAGTCGACAAGGTCTCCATCTTGGTCTGGGAAGATAAGAACTCATCGAGTTCCAACGCAATTCCAGCGAAAGCAGTTACATGATGGGTCATGAAGAGCTGCAGGACCTGTTAAACTCAGTGAGGGCTGAATAATATGGCAGTTTCATTCGCTTACCCCAAGAAATGCACCTTTTAACCTAGGATCCGGCTTTCTTTGCATTTCATCGGGATCCCAATACATGTTGCGAGTTCCATCGTGATTGAACTGGTCCCGACCTCGTACTATAGTCCGATACCCAACATGAACCAGAGAGTTGTCGGGTTCAAGTTTGTCGGCGGTTGTTGCAGTACAGGCAAAGAGTCGAGTGAAGGTCTGGACACGCGTCAAGCTTCAGTGTCGTGCACTGACGGAAATAATGAACAGAACGACTTACAAATGTCAAACCATTCTGGTAAGTTATCAGCATCGCTGTGATATCCTTGACCAAAGTAGGACCTCCAAGCGGCAGATAAGGCACAGCTAGGACCTTGTTCGTGTCGAAGATGTCGTTTGTAAGAAGGAGAGCCACCTTGGTTGGCAACTGGGATAGTGAGAGTGCGTCTTCTGCATCCAGGACCTCCTCTTCATCGTCATACCAGTGACCGCGATGCTTTGCCATGAGCGTAGCAACTTTGATTAGTTCTGTTCTGTAGTCGCCGTGGTACTTCTTGATCCACTGACTTGTTCCGAGGTGAGCGACTGGATCAGAGTCATTGTCGCCTCTGAGGTGGTCGATATATGCCTTCTCCGCGTATTTGAGAAATGTAGTGGCCATTTCGAGCTGGAATTCGCTAGGAGTTCGTTCCAGGGCCATTTCAGGTATGATGACCTCGCTAGCGTTGCAGGCGAGCACTGCCAGAGATTCTGGAGTGAGATCCGACTCGATGATAGCCTTGAATGCCGTCAAGTCGACAGGAATCGTTATGAAAGTAGCCTGCTCGACGAACAAAGCCAGAACTTCTTCCAAAGCCTTGAAATCAGGACATTGAGCTCGATAAAAAATGAGTGAATGTATAGACCTACTCCGCCGGACACTTTAGCGGTTTTCCCAATGATGCTGGGGTCGTATTGAGCCTCAGCGTAAAAGCGATACAACACGAGACGACTGAGCTTGAAGACGACCGATGGGATACTGAGAACGTTGTTGACAAGCCCTTTGATACCTTTCTCGAGCTCATCAAGCATTTCTTTCACCTCCGCAAGGGTCTTGGCAGCTTCCAGGCAATGAAGAACTCGACGAAAACCAAGCTCCGGTGTGTCCGTTTCCAGCGATTTGCGAGATTTGAGGCCAGTTCGTTGTCTCTTCATCTGCGAGACATGGTCAAAAACAACGTGCATTGCAGATACAACACGTTGCCATCAAAGTCGTGATAAAAAGACAATAAACTCACCGGCCTTTCATTTGTTTTGACGACTTTCTCCTGCCCACGAGTTCCAGCAACTCGAAAGTGGAATGAATCACTAAACTTACCTTTGGAGGCGCCTCTGAAATCTCAATGTGCAACCCAGATTGAGCATCGCACATGAAAGGTGTGGTATTTCTTACCTTTTTTGCGTTTGTCTTGTCCTGACACAACATTTGATGAGCGTGGCTGGTACAGGTGACGCAGAACTTACCTTGCCAGTAGCAGAAACCTGGCGAATCATCTAAATGGATGAGACCAAAAAAGAAGAGCCGAACGTACCTTTTTCTTGCTGCGTGATCTGGTTCTGTCTCCCTCTCTCGGTGAACCTTTTAGTGAACTGGTCTCTCGGAGAGGCGAGGTACCATCCTGCAGACAGTTAAAAACACAAAAAAAATGCCGGAAAAGTACACTGACCACTTCATCTAGTTTTCTTTTCTTCTCGCGATCCAGCCTCTCCGCCCGAGAACGATTCATCATCTAGCGAATCAAATAATGTAAATCTGACCCACTGCGAATACAATCAAGCACATACTTACGCCCTTCCTTGTCGGCGACTGGTGATTGCTGTTCTCGCACTGAGAAATCGTCACGTTGTACTTGATAATGGAGCTATAAAGTGATATATATCAGCTGGGGAATGATTCAAACGGCGAGTGAAACAAAGAGCACACCAAATCAAATTTCTTGCGCTTTTGGAGGCCCCGATTGAATAGAAATCACAGTGGGACAGACAGTAAAGCCGCTTAGTGGTCTAGAATTACTGTCTGTGTCGATGGTCGGAGCTGGCGCAGGTCGTGACCTTTCTGGCAGCGAGAAGACGTGGGTAGGGCAGAAAGACAACCAGCTGGGCACGTGCCTGATAGGTCCCACGGTTATCGTGCATGATGCAGTGACGGCATCACAAAAACGGCACTCAAAGTTTGACTCAAAATCTGCATTGTTTCCGGTGATGAAAATTGGAAGACAGTGATCGGATAGGCAGAACCAACTTCAACCAAGGCCTGTGTGCTACAAGAACTCAACTTAGCCAATGGACGAGCATCGTGTCGCTGTGGTGCCGTTCAAGAAATCAATGTCCCTCCGAGCCCGACTACGGGTCCGACGTGATCTGTCTCATGGCGATCAGTAAGCTTCAGTACAGGAAGTTAGCCTGGGACACTTTGTATACTATTATTAGTCACATCGGGATTGAAAATCATGATAGTGATTGAAAATATTTTTTCAAAAAACAGGGATTTGTTTTTTGCCCCCAGTATCATCTGGGTTCTTCTCTATTATGGGTACCTTATGGCTGGGAGAGTTTGTGGGAGGAGGAGAGGAGAGGAACCTCTCGGGAACTGCTGACCGGAAGGCAAAAAAGGCCTTTGACTCTCTAGAGAGGCCAGTCACAGGTCTAGCAAAAGATGACATCCCGTTTTCTGAAAAAAATAACTATATATGTACACCTGGTGCAGCGCAGCTTCCTGATGTCTGTGGAATAGGCTGGGATAGGTGGATGATAGGTAGGAATTTATGTCCCCATTAGCTAAAGAGTGGCTTCGGAGTGTCCGTGCCGAGACCAAATCGGAACAGCATTCTCGAGCAGGTGCAGGAGATGTGATGAGAATTTCTATTGTTCTGCTGAGACGATGTTCAGCAAAAGAACAAAAGCACAACTTGGATTCTGAAGAATCATTCCACTTTACAACTCGGAAGTATGTAGCGAGATGATATACCTCAAGTCGTGAAAAAAGTATCTCCTTAAAGTACAGTTCAAATTATCCTCAGAGTGATGTATAACCTAAAGGATGAGGAAATTAAACTACCGTTGAAACATTCATTGTCTTTCAAAACAAATCCCAGAGTCCTCATACGTACTCTCGATGTATCGTGAAAACACAACTCAGAGTACAGTACACATCAAAATGCCCTCGTGTCTAGTGTGCGGCCCCTTCAATGAGAATGCACTACGATGCCTCACATTCAAGCCTTAATCCTTCCCTCACAGTCTGGCCTTGGTGTGCTACCATTACGCCGATCTTGATAATCATCTTCTGTGGGTACACTATCGGTTCGATGGCGTAGTTGGTTATCGCATCTGTCTAACATTCTAAATCATGTTGCTACACAGAAGGTCCTCAGTTCGAGCCTGGGTCGAATCAAAGTTTTTATGACTTACACAAGTCATTTTCTAAGAACATTTAGAACGACATTTGATCTTCAAAATGAGCCACATACCCTTTCCGACACTTCATTCAATGTTCCCAACAATCCAAATGGCCCAAAATCTCACTTTAGCCATTGTAGCACAATCGTCGTGTGTTCAGCATGAATGTTGAGACTGTCATCTTGTGAAATAAAGCAAAATCCCACGTACTTGGCAACCCACAACCCATGAAACGAAACAAGAATCAAAATCCAACCCCAAGAAAATATAAATGCGACTATGTAGCGATGAGTATTATAGGTGCATAAGTAATTTGCGTCTCTTTTATGAGTCGTGAACCGTTCGTTATATGTACTGAATCTAGAGGATAAGTATCCCGAATGGAGAAGAACATATGAAGACTTGAGAAGACATATGAACCCTTATCCTCTTTGCCATCAACCCCACCGCTTCGTTGCCTCTCACATCTCTTCTACTGTCCCTGAGACTCGTTGTACTCTGACACTGCGAATGTGATAGGGATTGCGTCTTCAAGGGCCAAAGACGGCCAATATCGGCGAGTCGGCGTCGTTGTCATATTCTTCACCGGCGTCAAGTCGCTCGACGCAAGTTGCCTCGTCGCCCTCCTCATCTTCACTCGCTTCTCCAATGACAACACCCCAAAGCCTCCCGATCCGCTTCTTCGCAACTTCTTTGTCTACAATGTCTAAACAAGAGCTGGATATCGGCTGACTCGGCTTGATCAATGTGTGGGATGTGCGATTTTCAACTTCCCAACATAGCTTTTTTTGCACAGCATACAGCTTTTTCTCGGATGGTGTTCAATTGATGTATGTGCTATCAGCCGCTGAAAGTCCACCGACCCCGGATGCAAACACTTAGCACACAAGTACAGCCTTCACAGGCTGTCAAGCAGCCTCGTGGTCTCCTCCGACTTCCTCTCCTTCGACCATCATGTCCGCCGCGACATCCCCTGCCACAAACGATCCTAAAAAATGTGGGTGTGGCCCGGATTGAACGAGATATTATTATCTAATTAGGCTGGCTAGATGCTCTAATCGACGTTCACGAGCGCCGTCTCTGGGAGATGTGTAACGCAAAAGCAGTAGCCAAAGACAGGACCATCATGGGGAACTGGAAGAGCCACATGGACAGCCTCATAATCTTTGTGAGTTTCAGATTCCACAGAATGCAGTCGGTAATGACCTCGTGTTAGGTAGCGTTGTTCACAGGAGTAGCAGCGGCCTTATTTCTCCAGAGCTATGCATTACTGCTGCCCGATAACGACAGAATTCTGGCAGCTCTGTCGCAAATCTCTCACGAGTTTACAAACGCAACGCAGCCCGACACACCTTCCAACGACGCTACCGCAACTTGGACGGCACAACTGTCTAGCGCCCTGTTCCTTGGGAGCTTGGTCTACTCGTTGTGGTCTGCACTTGGGGTTATTTATTTCCAACAACGGATACGCGAATATCTCCATGAATCAGATATCAATGTCTGGGATGGGGCTCCCTTGCAGCAGGCAAGAACCCGCGCTGTGCAATATAACAGAGTGGCGGATTCTGTTAGCTTCGCCAGACTGGTAATTTGGTCATTGTACGCGGCTATCTACCTATTCTTCTGCGGTGTCGTATTCATGATGTACCACCTCGGCGCCCTCTTCTCCACGATCTCCGGCTCCATAGTGTGTGGTGTATTCTTATTGGTGGTTGTGCGGATCTCCATCAGAAACCCCGACAGTGGCACTTGGCCAATACGTGACTTCATGCCGCCCATTGTGCAACAATCAAAAGCCGTTTCTCCGAGCCAGAATTGGGAGTCCAAGGTCATAGGTAGGCTGGTTGGAGTGGCGTCCGAGCCTGAATTCCAGGAGATCTGTGAATCAATCCTCACGCTGTGCTCAACCACCACCTACCAACCCATTTTTAGAACCGTCATGGAAATGCAGGATGGGGTTCTCGGCGCCCGTCTTGTAGCCATGCTTCAGGAATCATTACGAGGTAGCTCGGATCATGTTTGGATTCAGCTTGGGCGAGAGCGAGCAATTGTTTGCTTAGAGGCTCTCTGGGTCTTGATTAATTCTGCCTTCAGAGATAAAAGCCGTCATCTTTGGTTCCTGGCGCCACGGGAGAGGTATGCACTTCATGACCAGCCACCATTGTCACAGTTCAATCTTCGACGCTGTGTTCTCACAGTCACTGCAATGCCTTCGGCGGTGGGATGGTTGCGCTCTAGCGTATTAGCTCAAAGCTGGGCGCAGATATGCTGGGAGCTCAAACAGTTGACTCAAGACATCACCGCGTCGCCAGAATCTTATCCCACAGTCTCATTCAACTTGACGGCGCTCGGATTTTCAGATTCTCTGAACTTCATAGACGAACGTTTGTTCCCCACTTTCAAACTCAAGTGGACAAATGTAGTTCACAACTGGACTTCCGATAGCGCGATCTCCATCGCATATTGCGCTCTCTTGGTCGATTACATCAGTCTGCTTCAGAGTCCTGATCAACACTCAGGCGCGCACAATCCTTACAACTTCACTCGTACTGTGTCATCGATATACTCTCCCGGAACTCATTGGCCCAATCCTGTCGACTGGAAGCAGGCTGACCTTCCCTCGGAATCTATGGAGACATTAATCAGTCTTCTAGAGAGTGCCAAAGACTCGGAATCCGATGATGGTTATAACAGCGCTCTGGGAGATCTGAAGAAAGTGTATGAAGACAGTCAACTTGCCATCGCAGGGCAAGCTGAGGCCAATCCCTCAGGAAGTGTTCTGGCGGAACAGACTACCGCCTGAAAGCAAAGGATTTCCTTATTACCCCTCTGTTCTTCTTTTGTTCCCTCTTTTTCGTCCGGGGTTCTTTCTTTTTCTTTTCGGAGTAATAGATACCCTGCGATTTTGGCCACACATAAGATGTCGATCACACGCTAGATTCACATCGCAATACAAGTACATCTCGAAAGTTTCTAGATCAATCTCAGTCGCAATAAGCCCCGACGTTTGCAGGCTAGGGATCACGAGTCAAATAGTGCCCACGGACAAGATGAAACCCACGTACCGCGACGTCTCGAGCATATTTCATCAGCACACCTCTCCTGACGGTAATCTTTCCTTTGTCTGAAGCATCCCACTCCTTTTTCCTCCGCTTCTGTTCGTCTTCATCAACAAGCCAATCAATGACTAGTCTCTCTGCATCGATGATAATCTTGTCTCCATCTTTTACAAGCGCAATAGGACCACCAACTCGGGCTTCTGGAACAACGTGGCCGATGATGAAGCCATGACTGGCACCAGAAAAGCGACCATCCGTAATGAGAGCAGTTTTCTCACGGAGCCCTGCGCCAACGAGTGCTCCAGTGGGACTGAGCATCTAAAAAGACGATCAATAACATCATCAAATCGACATTAAATATGGTACTTACTTCTGGCATTCCCGGCCCTCCTTTCGGGCCTTGGTACCTGAAAATAAACACCATCCCAGCCTTAATCTCTCCTCGTTCGAGCGCAGGCAAGAAATCATCGACATCGTCGAAACATTTCGCTATCCCTTCGAACTTCAACCCCTCTTTCCCGGTCAATTTCGCCACAGCAGATCCTGGAGCGAGGTTTCCTCTGAGGATGGTCAAAAGGCCGGTCGGTTTAAGTGGATTCGAGAGCGGGTACATGAGGTCTTGAGTCTCGAATGAAAATGGGATATCAGGAATGTCAGAGAGGTTTTCGGCCAGAGTACGGCCTGTGACGGTCATCTGGGATCCATCGATCAGATCTGTATTTGCAAGAAGATATTTCAAGAGAGCTGGAATTCCTCCAAGGTTGTGTAGATCTTCCATGTAGTACTTTCCGGCTGGTCTGCATGTTCATTAGAGCTTTTTAACATGATAAGCACGACTTGATTACATACTTGAGATCAGCCAGACATGGCGTCTTGCTCCCGACAGTTTGGAAATCGTCGATTGTGAGCTGGCCCAGATTAGAGGAGATCTGCATCTGGCTTGGAAACTGACCTCGATATCTGCAGCTCGTGCCATGGCGAGAAGATGAAGTACCTGAATATAAAACTCAGTCAAACGGACGATGGAAGAGACAAGCCCTACCGCATTAGTTGATCCACCGAGAACATTCACGACAGCGATAGCGCTCAAGAAGGACTGACGGGTCAAAATATCCCTGAGATTCGTGAGAGATCAATCTCAAAGTGAAGGTCCAAACAAACCTCGGCTTTATGTCTAGTTCCATCAGATTCTTGAGATATTTCGCGGCTTTGATACACTCCTGAACCTTGGCTGGGACAGTGTTAGCTCGTGATCATCATTTTTAGAGTTCGAAGAACCAGGGTCAGAGGCTGGGGTGCTGGACGAGTAAGGCAAGGTCATCCCAAGAACTTCGAGTGCTGAACTCATGGTATTGGCGCTGCAAGATCGTGGTTTTGAAACTCGGTAGACCATAACTGAGCGAAGGAATCTCACGTGTACATCCCGCCACATGCTCCAGCTCCGGGACAAGCATGTCTCACGACGTCGAATCGCTGCTCATCGGTAATGGAACCGATAGCATAAGCACCTGAGTACATCTATAAGCAAGGATCAGAACTCCCAAGAAAGAAAAACTTGCCATAAGACTCGAAAGAATCGGAAATGTTGACAGTTCCTCCTTTCTTATAGCCCATGGACGGACAGTCTGTGATAGTTAGACCCAGCAATGAAACGGACTTGAGTCTTACCAACAGTCCTGACACCAGCACGAATGGTACCTCCATAGACGATAATCGTAGGTCGGTTATGTCTAATTGCTGCTATCAAACATCCTGGCATATTCTTGTCACACCCAGGAATTGAAATATTGGCGTCGTAGTGTTGCGCCTAAATAGGCTGAGTCAAAAGCATACCAAGTCAAGAAGACACCAGACCATGACGACCTGGTCAGCGGTTCAATGGAATCTCGTGACTTGTGAGGCAGAAAACTCACAGACTCGATAGAATCAGCGATGA